ATATAGTACTATCACTCACAAACTGAACAACTTACGAAGTTCCCAATCATTTGTGACATAGTGCATGACAATAGCCAAAAATGTGTATCCATTGGAGGAGGTCCACATGTCAAGGGACAAGCTAACATTCCCCTCCAATTCCTGAAAATGTCAATTAGCAATCATACAGTTTCAGAATGTGAGAAAAAAAAACACCTTTATAAACCTTTTCAGTTCCTCTCTCGTTATTTCCCCCAACTTCATAACTTTCCTTTTCATCGTTGTAGCCCCTGGTATATGTAATTGTGTTGAGGAGTGATGAGTGTATTGAAGGAGGGCTTGAAATTCAGGTTGGTTAACTTCATCAAAAGGAATCGCACAGACCACGAAGTATTCCGTCAATTTAGCCTCAAACTCCTTTTGGTCCCATGGCTCCTACATATGAAGAAATAGATTAATCGGAGTTAATAAGATAAATAAATGCCCAACATACCTCATTCTTCATTGATGCACGTTTGAATGCTTCTACAAGGGGACCTGTCTTCGATTCTAATGCCCTAAGGTACTCAACAGCTGTCTTCGAATCGAGAGCAATTTGGTTGGATGCCAGCATCAACTCTTGGACAGTGGGAGGCTGCTCAGCTGAGCGTGACTTCAGCTCGAGGTATAAGCGCCACATTGCTGGAAAGTGGGTCTGAAGATGATTCTTTAGCCCTTAAAATAACGTTAGCATAAGGTCACACAAGGTACAGTTGAAGACTCACCAGTTTGCGACCCCTTCATCTTCTTGGTAATGGACAAGATTCGTCTCTTGCCATGATAACACCGATAATGTTTATCTCCAGGGTCTCCTGACAATCCTTCAGCATTGTTGGGGACCTGTTCGAAAAAATAGTAAATGGGGGGACGCTTCATTGTTACAGGTGTAGAAGTGCCATCCTGCCAAGAAAGTTAATATATGTAATCAAGCAAAAAATTGAAATCATACCTCAGATACAGGGTTAACTGTGATTGGTGCAGTGGATGGGGAATTGAGCATGGATCGAGACCTCTTTGAAGGAGGTGAGGCTGTACTAGACACTTGCTGGCCTTTCGAGGAGCTGCTAGTGGACTTGGCAGTTGTTGTCTTCTTCTTTTTCGCTTTGCGCTTCCTCTTGTTATCAGGTAATTGGGCATTGATGTTGTTATTGGCCACATCAGCAGCTGGGCGTGTCTTCTTTGAATTCCACTCCACTTCGGTCTTGCGCAGCAGTAGATCAGCAATCTGTGGTCAAAGATAAGAAAAATGCGAGATGTAATGGCATGAATACACACCTCTTCATTAGGTATCTCCTCATGATACTCTGAGTCTGAATCCGAATCCAAACTGACCTCAATAAGAGCTGGCATGTCACAGTCCGAATCTGACTTCGAACCTGCCTCGTCAACTTGCATAGCCACATCCTTTTCATCTACAGTCTCTCCAGTTTCAGGATCAATATACAAATAATGTTTCTTCGACCTCCTGGGGGTCTGGATTGCCCTGGCCTTACTGTTCGCATCGATGGCAGATTCACGAAGTTGATTCACAGTGTTTGGCTTCAGAGCACGCTTAGGCCGCCCTTCTGAAGTGGAGTTGACAGGGTGAATTAAACATACAAATTAAATAGTCAAATACTCACCAGTTCCAGCCCCAGCTGCCTTCGCAGCATCAACTAATGCGTCAATCCAGAGCTTCACCAAACCGGCGGATCCAACATCCTTCCCTGCTTCAATCTCCTTCAGAACCCAACGGATAGTGGCAATAGTGGACTTTAAGGCGTCCCCACGTTCTGTGACCGTAAGTCCTTTGGATTTATCGCCCCAGGACGAGTGCATAGCTTTGTTGAATGCGGGCCATGGTCCTTCCTCGGATGCAAAGACAGCATCGATCTGGGGCGAAAGCGAAGAATTGGGAGGGTTAATGGGAATATTAGAAGGCAGAGTATTGAACAGGAACTCGAGAGCATCGCATTCTACCTTGTAAGGAGGCATGGTCAATGAATTTAATCCCAGAGTGAAAAATGCGAAGATTAAATACCTTGTAGAGCGGAAAAACCTCAATCAGCCTGTGATTATATCGGAACATTAAATCTCATTGTTTTCAACACATGAGAAGGGCCAAGAGAACTAGGGAAAGCTCCAGGGCATCGAGGAGAGAGAGGCCACAGTGCAATGTGGAAGTGAAACACACCCAAGATGCGTAGCTCCAAAATTACCTCCGTCGGCTGATGGTCAATGTGTCATTTGAGCTCTGGTACCGGGTATAGTCCCATAGGTGGCCTAGTTTGCAAGAAGGAGAAAATTGGGATGGCCGTATGGCCGTAAAACGGCCGTAACGGCCGTATTTTGTACGGAGAAATACGGTGGGTAGACGGACCGTCTCCGTATACGGCGGAGCTAGTGGATTTGGCTATCGGAACGGATACGGGTGCCGTATTACGGTGCCGTGCATACGGTCTGTACGGGTACGGTGGTGATCCCTACTGAGGAGTACTTTTCTTTGCCAGGTAATCCGCCCTAGGATGGAAGGGTGGAGGGTTCAAATGGTCTTATTCTGCTTAATAGTACCTACAAACAAATTCAAGAATGAAATCATACCCTGTTTTGTAAAGTATTGTGCAAATTATGTAGATGTGACATAACGTGACGGTGCGTGACACCTCCCAGTCTGTCACGCTCTTACTATCTAAGGAAAGCGATAATTCCAACGGTCCGTCCAGTTCGAAACCGGTTTATTAATAAAACCAAACCAGTGAAACCAATGATACACTGGTTCGGTTCGGTTGGTCTAAAAATGGTTCGGTTACCGGTTTAGGGAGGACTGGACCGAACCGGCGGCAACACTAATACCAAGCGAAGTTTCCTCGTTTAGGAGGACCAGATCGTCTTCTGCGGTTCCTTTCGTGAAACTTATTTTACAATCGCTACCAAATCTAAAAATTCTTATGGTATACTTGCAATGGTCACATGCCCCTCAGAGGCTCTATGATGCTGCTCTGGATGAATGGAACGCTTTGGGCCGAGTCGCAGATGGAGGATTGATTGTGTGGGACGATATTTCGGATGTGGTTAGATGTTTTTATGAGGAACGATCAATCTGGGATAATGTATGGAAGCGGGACGATTGGAGGAGTATGGATGGGCCACCGCGATATAGATGCAGAAGGAAGCTTTGATTTGCTGGTGATGGAGGTATTTAATAATTATATTGGAAATGTAGTTCAGATTACTGAAAATAAGTGTTTAGATACACTGGTTGCAAATTGAAAGACTCAGTCTCAAGCATGATATGGTTCGAACTTCACCACAGGAATGTCGATGCGAATTTATATCAATTCTTTGCTGAGTATCCTCGGGTAGTACTTCAATCTTCGATGTTCAGGCTGTAGCGAATCTAGAATCTTTAGCTCTTCTATAAATACTTACAGGACATTAAATGGGTGGTCATACCAAACTCTGCGATTTAAATATTTATGAATAATCAAAATCAATAAACCAACACCGGATCCGTTTCTCGTGAATTTGGCGCTTATTTTATTCCAAATAATACAGCTGTACTGAAATTCCTATTCAACAATTAATCATTTCCCAACCACCTACCTCCCGTCGGTAGGGTCATCCATGCCGGCAGCCCCCTCTCGCTCCTCTCTCTCCAATCCGCATAGCATTCCCTCGCGTCCTCCCAAATCGTCTTTCCTGCCTTTAGTAACCGCATAAACTCTCCCTCCTCTATCGTAGGTCGTCCAATAATTCTTTTATCCTCCAAGGCCAAAGACAAGATGATATCCCATGTTGGACCGGTGAAGTGATCGGGATATTCCCAGCGGGTTGCGTCAGAGATGAGGAGGAGCATTTCGAGGGAGGCAAGGGAGAGGCAGTGGGGAATTATAAGGGAGAGAGATGGTGAGTTTCGGGGACAAAACAGACCGAGGTGGGATAATTGTGTGAAGGCCTCGAAAAGAATTTCCGGGTTGACTTCGATGTTGGTGAAGTTGATTCCGAGGAAGAGATGCGTAACATTTCGAAGAATCGCATGAACCAAGAAATCCCCAAGTTGAATGGTCACATGTCCTTGACATATGAGGATAAACTCCCAAGGTCTTGGCCACTTCGCCGCAGGAATTAATTTTTGCGCAGGCTGTTGCGATACTTCAAAAACAACCCTCTTGATATTCGAACACATTGCCAAAATCCTCTGATCCACTCCAGGTTCGAATATCCCTACATTATCCGAAATATAAATATTCTTGACATATTTCGATAATTCCACATTGAGCCTGACATTTTTGAAAAACGGCACGTTTTGAAAATACGCTGTGAGCTGGATGGTATTATACAGGATGGGTGTAAGGAGGCGGCGGAGGCTTTTGGAAACGAGACAGAGATTCGATGCTTGTGATTGCGATTCCAGAGCGGAAACGATGAAGATATGTTCTGTTATTTCAGGAGGGAGTATACGGAGGAGATGTTTGAGCTGTTCGATACGTTGAGAGTAATGCTTTCGACCAACGGTACTGACAGTTTATGTTAGGGGAATAATTAAAAAAAAAATTATGACCAGAGACGTACAGGATATCGAGACCATTGATATCATAAGACATAATTACAAGGTATGTTGGAGGTCGAACGGATTGCGTTCTGAGATCCTCCAAGCTATGGACTCGGACTGGCAGGGCTAGTCGTGTGAGGTAAATCGATGAGCTGCGGGAGTATATGGGGGGCCTGAACGACGCACTGTGAATTTATACCTGATGGGAAAAGATCATGTACACTATGTGCTTGTTCGAGGTTCTCATAAGTTATCTCCCGGACCGGCGTCGGTTTTCTGTGATTGTTCAGATCGGACATGGATCCGACGAACGTAATATAAGGAGACTTAGAAAGAAAACACTGTTGAGTAGACATCGACCATAAGTAACAGGGACAATACGAAGGCAAACTCGAGAACGTCGTGACGAAATAGGACTAAAAATAGGGTCAGAAGACACCATGCAAAAATCGGGCCACACCGGGAATTGAACCCGGGACCACTCCCAATCATAACCTCTGTAAGAAGTCGGGAAATCCCGAAGGGAGTATCATACTACTAGACCATGTAGCCGTTGAAAAGCGCTGGACCGTGTATCACCCCGAGGGGATATGGTCGTGTTATTATTCAGAATCACAGCCGCCAGTGAATATACTATGCTCAGGATACGTTACGACCTGTAATCAATGTGAAGCAACGTTATCCATCATTATTTTAAAACAAAGCATTTCTTTTGATAACTCTACTTATATAGCGAAGCGAGAACGTGAGGTTGACTTAACGTCCTCGGAGATCATCAAGTTTACAGCGCGAAACAAGCTTATTGCGATCACTAGCAAGGCTTTTCCTTCCCGCTCTCTCCTTCTCCTCCCTTCCCAATTACATTTGCTATAATTCCTCCAACAAGGCCACCCCCTATAATCCAGGTAACAGGTAATACTCCCGTCGCACCAATTGACTGACAGATGGCGAACAAGGAGCCTGCTGCGACGGCCGGGCCTTGGATAGCAGCAGCTATAGAACCTGTAGAAGGTCAGCTTGAGGATAAACATGGATAAATAAGTCGCCTGCCTGATGCTACGCCAGTGCGAAGAAACCCAATGCCCCCAAGTACGGCAGGTGCAACAATTGACGTAAAGAGCGCTCCTACAGCAACACCAGCGACGGTCCAAAGACATATACGCAGCCATCTGTGTCTTTTAGTAAATGGATTAGCGTGGATTTAGATGGTTATTATTAATAATAGTGGAATTAACCTGTTATGTCTCAACGCGACCCTTTGTGAAAGTCGGCGCAGTATAGACTTGACTATGGTATTGTTCGTTGAGTGAGTATTGCGAATCAAAATATTGCCGCTTACTTTTGTCCATCGCTCGAAAAATCGGGTCGGTAACGCTTTGTGAAACTCGGCGCAGTATAGACTTGGCTATGGCATTGCTCGTTGAGTGAGTACTGCGAATCAAAATATTGCCGCTTACTGTTGCCCATCGCTCGAAAAATCGGATCAGTTAGTGATAGTGAGTATGAAGCCAGTAACTACCCCAATCACCCGTGCCAGTTTATATGTTCTGACCAACTAGTCACCTCGTGTTCAATTGGAACCTCTTCTGCTAACGACTCCGACCTACGAGCTTCTGTGTCCTGAAAGGCCCAGAATTTAACCAAGATAGAATCTGAACACGTTCTCGAACTTTAATTAATATAACAGAAACCGGAAATATCGTAACGCCAAAAGATTAAGCACACATTCTTGAATTCTTGAAATCCTAAAATGCTCGAGACTACATACATGGTTATACAAGGAACAAGACTTGCTCGCCGCCTGATATAAACTACCGACAAGACATCCGATCTCTAAATGAGCAATAATGCCGCATATAGCGTACTCCAGTCACTGGACTGGAAGGAGGATGTAAGAAGTCCGGCATACCGGTTCTTCCTAAAAGTTGAAACTTTAAACTTCGTGCAATAAGGTCTTATACATCTCATCTGTTTATTATAAGTAGCAATGTGTAACTAAACGTTATGAATGATCGAGTACTCTGGATATTTGGATGATTAATAAAGTAAAGGAACGTAAAAAGCTTGGGGCTCTCATAGCCTCGGGCGGATACCAAATATATTCCCGCCCCTTCGCCAAATCTCTCTAGTACCATTGACCGCAACGGCACCAACAACAGGAGCGGCCAGGTTCAGACGTTCTGTGACAGAAGTAGCCGCCCCGTTCAGAATCTTGGTAGCAAAAGCAAAAGCGGTTGTTACTTTGAGACTCTCCGTGGCAGTATCAGCGGCAGCCTGAAAGCTTCCAATTACACCCTGACCGACAACACTGGCAGTGGCAGTGGTTCTAGCAGAGATGGCAGCTCCCCAAAGCCTCCCAGTAGCACCGGCAGCAGCAGCACTAATGGTGGAAGTGCCCTCCCTAAGACTCTTAGTAGTCCTTGCTGTAGCCTGACCCCCCGAAACTTTATCAGCAACTACAGTACCAGCTGCAGCGGTACCACCTCCCTAAAGGCCTCCCGCTGTAACCGTGGCTATAGGGAAGTACTACTACTTATACATACCTGCTACTACCCCAGCGCTACCAAAACCAAAAGCATCGAGCACGGCGGGGACGAAAATTGGTGTCAACACGACACCGACCGCGATACCTGCGACAGTTGCAGCCCCGGTGACGGTCCTAAGATCGTAGGGACTTTTCCCTGGATTTTGGTCACCCACTTGACTAAGAATTGATCAATATTTTATCATAGAATAACAGGCCATGGGGAAGATACACTTACGTTCTGTCATTTAGGCTGGAATAAAAAAAACCGCAAATGAGACTTGATAGTGGCGATAGAGTGATGATCAGCGGGAATACCCCAAAGAAGGGGAGTCCCCCGAAGAGTGTCGGAGTTCTGGGGTCCAGTTTGGCACTTGACCTTCAACGCATGTACATAATTTAAGTACATAGGTAGAACGTGCTAGAAAGACCATAATGGGATTCAAATAGTCAACCCACCAAAATTAAACTTTACAACAATTGTATGCCTCGTGAATATCCGAGGATGACAGAATCCTGATGCATTGATAGTCTGGATCAACCTTATTTTCCTGTTCACGCCGCTGCCTAGGGTTCCTCCCAAGACCCACACCTCCAACGTCAGCTGGGTACTCTCCTTGGCAAACACAGCAATGCGACCCTACATGACGTCAAGCTCGGTCTCAATGTCTCTCGCTTTCTGCACCGCTGTACTGCCTACGGACGATGATTCGGTTTCTTCTTTCCTCCGTGCGACGGATTTCGGTGTACCGCGACTTTGCTCCAAATCGGTTCCGTGGCCTCTGAGAGGCGTGCTTACCAGAACTGCTGCGCTTTCTTGACATCGATTCAAATTTCTCGCATAAACTGGGATTGGTCCGCTTGAGGACCATGCTCTCCTTAAGTATTTTCGGCGCGACCTTCCAGGCATCACGATAGGCTTCCGCGACCGCATTCTTCTCCTTCTTGACGTACATAAAGGACGATACTTACTGTTTACCTTAATCGTCAGCTTTTCATATAGAACGCCAATGATAAAGAAACCTGATCTATAGAATGAACAATGCCCCATCTAGGATGTTGTTGCTCCGGAAATGGACTCAAGAAGAAAATGCCCGGGGTAACGGTTCCTCCGGATATTTGGCTGTGAGACAACGCATTTTTTGTCGTGGTAGATACTCTATAAATGTTTATATCTTTATGTATATTGATAAAACGCAGCTGAATCCTTTATATGAGGCTTATCCATCCATCTGATTATCATAATTAAACATAACGTGGATAATGACATTGAATAACTGGAAGTTGTCAAATAAAGTACATTTGGAAATTTGAATGAAAAACGTTTGACGGTATCATGCTATTATTTACATTGAGCCACACTCAATAACCCGGGTTTTGATTCTCAGAGTGCTGCTGGCATGATCTGAACGGACTTTGGCCTCGAGGCCCCAAAGACTCCACCCCTTCGCCAAATATCCGCAATGCCAATGACGGCAGCGTCAGCACCATAAGCAACAGCGGCCTTGAGACTCTCTGTGACAGAAGCAGCCGCTCCCTTCAGACTCTCAGTGGCACCAGCAGCAGCAACATTAACAGCAGCAGCGGTACCCTTGAGGCTCTCAGCTGCAGTGGCCGCGGCAGCCTGAGAACTTCCAAGTATAGTACCCTCCCCGATAGCAGTGGCTCTAGCGGCGGCGGCACTTCCACGAAGACTTTCGGTGGCACCGGCAGCAGCAGCACTAATGGTGGCAGCGCCTTGCCTAATACTCTTAGCAACCTTAGCGGTAGAATTCCCTCCCGAAACTTTATCAGCAGCTACGGATCCAGCGGCAGCAGCACCACCGCCCAAAAGACCTCCCGTTGCAACCATAGCTGCAGGGACCACGCTTGTCGCACCAATGGACTGGCATATAGCAAATGCAGAGCCCGATACGACAGCCGGTCCTTGAATGCTTGCTGCTAAGGAACCTAGAGATGTTAAGTTTAAGAAGAAGCATGCTTGGCAAGTACTACGCATACATACCTCCTATTACCCCAGCGCTGCCAAAACCAACAGCACCAAGTACAGCCGGAACGACAATTGGCGTCAACACGACTCCGGCAGCAATACCAGCAACAGTAGCAGCGCCGGTAACGGTCTTGAGATCGAGGGGATTTTTGCCAGGATCGTCACCCTCCTTTCCTGGGTCAGTAGGCTTCATCTCCTCATTTCGACCACTGGATTTGCATGTAGTTAGATGGCTGTTTGACTATTCTACTATTCAGAGTGGGTCTCACCAATCACATCGCGTCGTGTCCTGCTCCTTCAGGCACATATCGTGAAAGTAACATCGTCCGCAAGGCCCAGGTTGCAATCCCCGGTCGTGATCAAAAAATTGCTGACAGAAAGTACATTTTACTAGGAATTAAGCGATCAATATGGGGTAGTAGATTATCGCAAGTATAGGGTGGCGAAGCTATTGACACTTACGTTCAACCATCGTTTAGGAATATCCGATAATGAGAAAGAACAGCGTGTAATAGTAATTAAGCTACGGCAATATGATAAGTGACTGCTAATAAATCTAGCATAAGCAGCTCAAACACTGACCTTTTATAATGTAGTAGAGGCCAAGTTGGTCGTTGGAGGGCTGTGGTCACCTGTTTGGTACTTCTATTAAAGGTGCTTCGAAGTACATAAGTACATAGAAGGCGCTAGAACGACCAACATAGCATTCTAGAATCAAACACCCAATCCCAAATTTCAAACCAAATTTCAAACAAACAAAATATATTATTGCAACAATCGGTATGCATCATGATCATGATATCAAGCACGCACATATAGGACTACATCACTGTAAGTTACAATCTTGTACTTGATTACTTGAATTCCCAAATCTAGTAAAGCCCGGAACTTGTAATACACACCAAGAAATACAACATGCACGCAGCGAAACAATAAGTTTAGTGAGATTCATGAAAATGTTCACTCAATTTCTACAAAGAATAACTTAGTCAGTATAACTGACTGACGTTCACTGATGACAAAAAGGACCCTCACCTC